ACAGTTGCAGGGATGTAAATACTATTCAACAGTTCCTCATAATAAGATTTTAATGACCACACTGAAGAAGAGAACATATTATTTTGTGAATTAAGCTAATGATATAAGATTCATGCTGATGCTGTGGAAATTAGGCAGCTATTTCACAATTTTATGTAGGCTCGCAAACTGAAATGACTGAGGCTCAAAAACCCCCCTCAAAGATAAACAATATCAGAGGCACCATCAATAATGAATAAAGAAATTTACAAATCTTCATGTTGTTTGGCATCATTATACCACATTTATATTTTTAAGCCCAAGTAGTTAGAGTGCAGTGCTAATTTCCTAAATACTTGTCCTACGTGCCAAGTCTGATGGCAGCTGGTCCATTAGAAAGACAAAGAATTAATAAGAATGGAATTATGTGCCTGTGAAGACTAATAACATATGCTCAGAAACAATTAGGGGCAAAAAGTAGGAATTCCATGCATTCAGATTTCTAGGAATGTATGCATATGAATAACACTTACCACTGTGTAGTGCTTATTATGTGCCTAGAACTGTTCTAAACACTGGACATATTAACTTCTCAGCTCACACAATGCTATGTCACAGATATTAATTAAAGATATTAATATCTTTGTTTTACTCAAGGTCATGTACGGAGATATCAGCAGAACTGAGCTTAGCTTAGCTTTGAGACACATCTCTGTCTCGCCTTGTCTGAAAAGACAGTCTCTCTCCCAAAGTTGTCCAAAAGAGTGGTGCTCCATTCTAGATTCATGGCTTTTATGACTGACAAGAATATGAAAATAAATAATTGCAAGATGAGTTACTATAAGACACAGAAAATTAACTTTAACTGGGTCAATATTTGTAGAGAAATAAGAAGTAATGCCCCCTCCAATGTGTGTCCTGTGTAGTATCATTTGTGTCTGTCTTTGGCAGTTCCTACTGCTATCACCTCTTAATATTTAAAAAACATTTAGCCAGACACTTTGCAGGGACTATCTGATTTAATCACAGTAGCAAACGTATAGCATAATACCATTCTCATATTAACACAAGGGAGACTATGGCTCAGGGAGTTAAATTTATTCAACCCCATAGTGTTAAAAAGTTATATAAGGCAGATATCTGAACTCAAGCAATTTGCCTACAGAGCCCACACTGTTTGTCAATGTGCCTCTCACCATATGTTGTCTCCCATTGATACCTTCTCAACATGGCTTGAATGGGGGGGGGGAAATTTAGACTCTGTAAATGATTTTAAAGCTTTATAAAAGCATCTTTTACACATGGGGGCAGAATAGATTATTGAATTTTTTTCCTTTTAAGCCTTTCTAGTTTATCTTAACTTGAAGATAGCCAAGGATATTTCATAATATAAAATGAGATGTGTATAATAGTTGACCACTTGACTGCAAGTGTAATGAATATTACATATGCCATACACGTGGTTTTATTTTCTCAATTTCAATTGTTGATTTAAGTATAAATTTAGTATAAAATTAAAAGACATGATTTTAGTATACATTTTTGAGAAATCTAATCAGGGCCCTATAATAGATTTGTTGGACTGGGAGAAATAAACGGACTCTCTCATCTTAGAGAATTAGGGCCTTAAAAAAAATGTTAGCAAATTAGTTTCTTCATCCTGGTGAATCATTACCAAGATAACTTTGTGCTTGTGACTAGGAAAGCTATTATTATTGTTATTATTATTATCATTATTGCAATTTGCGCGGGTTCAGCAGCCAAGTAGATTCACTTAACGAATCGGTGGTGTGCAGCACACACGCAAATAACATTTCCATAAATAAGAACAGCTGTGTGAAATATTGCCGTTGGAAAGGCAAATTTACTGAGACAGTGATTATAGCCCATGAAGCTCCAGGCACAACCATCATTGTAGGGCCATTTCTCTCCCTCATGCAGTATTTTATGTCTATTGCCCTCAGAACCAGAAGACAGTGCATTCATGGCTCCAAATGCTATTTCCTCTCCTGTAAAACTGGTTTTATTACAACCTCCTGCTTTTAGTTACTGAAAACTTGCTGAAAATCCTCCCTAGAATGTAAAACTTTTACTATTTGGCCTCTTCCAAAAAGATACAGCTTGAGTGAAAAGAGAGTAAAATTTAGGTTCCAAAAATAAGGCAATGCTTAATTTGGTATATTAAAAATTACTTTTAAATGAGAAAAAAAGTAAACATTGGATTGTATTAATATTGCTCAAGCAACTCTTCAGTAGCAGGAAGTGCCAGTTTACAGTCTACAAAGGGTAAAGTGACATTGGTTTTGCCCTCACTGACATGTCAGAATTTAAACTTGAGTCACCTGGACTTATTTAATGAGCATATAAATCAGAAAAGGGTTGTCAACATTTTGTGTATTAAATTTTAGACAGTAATTTTATTTTAAAATGTTATTTGGATCTTATGTATTAGGTGATGAAAATTGGTGATTATGTACCTATATTCAGAATCATCTTCCACAAATTTTTAAATCTTGGGTTTTGCCATTTCATTTGCTACAAAATCTGGAGGTGTCAGGGAGGGTGTTGATACGTGTTCGTATTTCTAGAACATTGAAAAGGGAAAGTTATTACTTAGCCTTTGTTTGAATTCCCTGAGTGTAATCCTGTGACTTGTCTGTTAGTGTGATCCTAGATTTATGCAATTAAAAAAAACACATTAACTCAAGCTTTTGTTTTTATAGTATTTCAGTCATCAAAGCTGGTTGNTTCATTCTACTTTTAGTGGCTCTCTTGTTAAAGATTTATGCAATTAAAAAAAACACATTAACTCAAGCTTTTGTTTTTATAGTATTTCAGTCATCAAAGCTGGTTGTTTTCATAAACACAATATTTGATCCTTGCAGCACCTGTGAGGTTAACAGGGCCATCCCCCCTTTTTACATATGGAAAAACTGAGGGTCCCAGAGGTGGCATGACACGCCCACTGTGAACAGTATTACTGCCACACTGACCAAATCCAGAATGCTGAGGGGCATGGTCTTCTGATCAAAATCAAATAATTTGCAGAAATCAAATCTAAAACAATTGTCCACTTTCATCTGATATTAGAAACAACTTATACCCTACTCTTCGCCTCATAAAATGTGCTAGCATATGTTTAGGATCAATAAACAGTATTTTGTAAAATTAGAGTGTGAAAAACATTGCCTTAATTATGTTTCAATCCATTGCTTCTTTTAGTAAGGTTTAAATTTGGGTTTCCTAGCAATTATTTTAGCAGATAGAAACTTAGTATAATAAGACTATGCGCTTATGATATTCCTGATGGTATGGATTGTATAATTATATTTATATGTGTGTATCTGTTTGTGTGTATACTTATATGTATTCTCTGCCGCAATGGAGAAGAAATCTGGTCCAGGTACATAAGCCTTTGGTATTGTACTGTCAATTTGGATGCCTATGTTTTAAATTCTTCGACAACAAAGCTTTAAAATATAATTAGTTGAGAGAGTCACTCCTGAGATTTATATAAAGCGGAAGAAGGAAGAATGCTTAGCTTGGAATGAAAATGTAAGAATGCATCTATCATACCAACCAGTAGATGGCCTAGGAACTGGGCTTGAAGTGACTCAATAAGACACGCCACTCAGTCACGATATCATGGCTCCTCCAGTTCCCTATGTGGAAACCCTACTGAGCCAAACCACTTACTCTTTCATAGTCTCTTTCCCTCCCTCTCTGCATCACTTCCTCTCTTCTCGTGTTTTTCCAAGCACTAGTTTTAGAAATACGGTCTTATATCGTGCTTCATAACTTTTCCTACTAAGAACTTTCAGAAGAGGCAGGTGGATTTTTCTCAGCCAATGAAAATCAAAGAATTGTTCAATTAATGTTTATCAAGAAAGTTGATAATAAAGTTTTCATATTTTTCACTATCATCAGCTATCTCCATTAGCAGTCTGTGACATCTCTGTAGAAATAGTCCTATTCCCTTCCCATGTTCTTATGCTGACACTCAACATGGAACCTACGTAAGATGACCACTGGACGGCAAATTGATAGTGGGTTGCTAAGATTTCTCCTGCTCCTAGAATCTCTGGAGGTCAGAGAGCCTGTTATGCTTATGCTTGTGATCTTCCATCCCCAGTTCAGTTGCCCCCAGAGCTCCTCTGTGCATGGGAGTAAGAAGTTTCAAATGCACAGGCCGAGGCTCCTTCCTCGCGAGTGAGGGCTGGCCAAAGGGACACAAATAAGATGACTGCCTCTGTACAGAAAATACATTTTTGAATTTTACATCTTCCTCTTGTGGTATAATTTGGGACTAGCTCTGGTAGAACAAAATCTAGAGCTAGCTGTATTTTTTTGTTTGTTTGTTTAGTTTCTCTTTTTCATAGTCGGTCAATAAACAAAGCAAAAGAAAAATAGCCTTTTTGTAAATGTTTTAAGAAAGGGCAGTAACTGTGTCCTTTAATGGAATAAAACCAAAGTATCCACAGTAATTTTTAAGAATTCTGTTTTTGTTATAACCATTGCTAGAAAAGTACTGTTAGGCAACTCTAAACACCCTCATGAATAATTAATTTTCCTGAAATGTAATTGAGTCAAATAAGCACTCGATTTTTAAACTACTTCAAGAATGGATTTTATGGAGCCAAATCCCAAGGGCTGGGATGATGTGTTTTGGTCTCTGGATTCTGTCCACCAAGCCTGTGCCAAGAACAGGAATTCCAGACTTATTCTCTGAGTCTGAGAAGGATAGCACCAACAGCTAAGATTTTCCTGGTCTCAGTTGTAGTCATTTAGATAATTCTGCAAATGGCTCAAAATATACTGTGAAATGATAAAGAGAAAAATATGAGTGTATTTTTTAATAAGCTGGAAACACCTGAATATGGTAGTTTTTAAAAATTCAACAATTTCATATAGCAAATACCAGCATTTTGAATTATATATCAATCTTGGGCACTAAGTTGTATTTGGCATTTTAAGAAGATAGCTATTTTATGAAATGATCCCATTTTCTTCTTGCTTTGTAGGTAACCCACTAACTAAGAACCAATCAAGTGACCCTCAAGGCTGATTACGTGGAACATACGCAGAGAAACTCAACTTCTGAGGCGATCTGGAAGGAAGATTTTTATACTGCTCTGAAGAGGCTCTCCAGACTCATTTCCAAGGGATTTTATGGCTCGTAATCAGCATCTTCTTGAAATGGAGACTTTCAAAAAGTCAGACTTGAACTTCTTTGTCATGAAGACATCCTCGGATTTGAACTGTTCACCTTGTAAAATTGCACTTGCTAAAAGAATTTGAAGTGGCCATCTGAAGAGTTGGCGTTTCGGGGGGGATGTCAGAGACACTCGCCTTTTGGGCTCTTGGCTCCCAACATGACTGCTTTTCCTGTTTCTGAGAGTCTGCCGAGGGCACTGGCCTTCAGTCATGGATGTGCTCCTGGGTCTGGTCCTGTGTTCAGTGGCTAGTGGGACTGTACATGGCTTTAGTGACATTTCCTTTGCAAACTTCTCCTCTGGCATGGTGTGGACTGAGATCGTTTTGTTTGTATCCTAATCATGGAGCTCTAAAAGCCTACATGTTTTAACATCTTAAAGTTGCTTTTGTTAAAGGAATGGAAAAATATATCCATTGATAATAATTATTGTTGGCAAGTAATAGTTACCTGAATACATCAATCACATAAGAATGTATAGACTAGCTGACATGTTTCCCTAAGGCTGACACACTGCTGCAGCTCTCTGCCAGTTAAATAGGTAGTAGTTAGAACTGAATTACCGTTTTCATTATACACTATTTTGTGCTTCTAGAGTACCCCTTTTTTTTTTTTTTAAGTGGGCTGTTTTCTTTCCTTTTTATGTTTACTTTTTTCTTTCACAGAAATCAGCAGTGAGCAGTCAAGTATTTGGTTAGATAGCCTTCAGTTTCAAAAACGGCCAGGGATGCATGTGGGTTTCTGATTTCTTAGCTTGGAAGATATTCACTTACATTTCTTTAAGTATTTTTTTTAAACTGTCTTTTCTATCTCATTTTAGAAGACTGTCTCTTGCTTGATCCCAATGACTGTTTGAATGCTGTTTGTCCAGTCTGTTGATAAAATAAATTGTTCATTTTCCTTGGTCTCAAATTTATAAATATTTGCTAATAGCTGTCCCATTGAAACAGTTTCTTGGTCACTTTTTGCCCACAGTTTTGTAGTCATTTTCACATTTGTGGTTTTCAGTTCTACAGGAAAGTCTTATAAATATTTAAAGGCCTTAAACATGTATGTACCTTTTTCCCTAAGTTATTACAGAATGTATAATTTTATACTGCATTTGTTTCATTAAGGATGTGAAGGGAGGGAAGAATGGAAGTTGTAAAGCTATTCAGTAATAATATTGTATAAACTTACAGTTTGAAGGGATGTAAAGAGAAGGACTTCTGTGTTTTCTCATCTCAGAAGGATAGGAAGATACTTCAGACAGTGTGCTATTAGAAGTTCCATTTTGTTAGAGAAGGTGTGGACATCTTTTGTGTTTCTAAATCTCACTGATATGGCCAAAAAGGTATACGTTGGTTTCCATGATGGAGGCTGAGCATCCTGAAGGCCTTTGGTCTGTTAGTTGGTAACAACTTTCAGAGACTAATACATTACCAAGATCTTTTCTGGGCAGAACAACTGATAACGTTAAAATTTGTTTAAAAGTTGAATGTGTAAAGTATGCTTTTGACATTGAACTAAAGTATACTGCCCTACAAGTCAATGAAATGACTTCTTCCTTTTATTTCAATTATGCATAAAACTAATTAGATTGCTCTAAGTGGATTTTTCAATGGTTCAGTACTATATGAACTCGAAGACAGAAATAACAGTTGTGCTGGAGTTTCTGCATCAATTATATCATTAATTTGTTTGGAACAAAGAAGAAAACTATATTATTTTGGAAATTATGAATTTGTCCTAGGTTTGTTTGAAATTATAGGTCATGCCTCTCATTTATTAAACTATGTCCTTTAAAACAACACTGAAAATTCTGTATTATATATAAGTGTAATACATGCATATCAATAGAAAAAAATAAATGGAATTTCAAATATACTAACTAGATTATTCCCAGTAGATTAATGTTGTGACTATTCAGAAAAGGTGAATAAAATTGGGATACAAAATGGACTCTCTTTCATGAGTTACATTTGGAGAATCTTTTTTTCTAGTGTTTTATTTTAAAATCACTTCAGTTACAATCCAGGGAAAACCTCTGAATTCATGTGGAAACTGACATCAGTTCTTCAATCTTTTAAAAATAAAATCCATGGCAAATCTTACAACTTACACAGGTTCCAACGTTCAATAGTTTAAGGTTCACAAGAAGCTATGAGAACTGCAAAGGACTCTGTACCCTTTCTTGATCAACCCCCAGCGATAACATCTTTTAAACTGTAGTCTTGTCAGCCGAGGATCTGATATTGGCTCAATAGTACTATTAACTCAACTACAGACCTTATTCAGATTTCACCAGCTTTCACATGCGCTGTGTGTGTGTGTGAGAGTGTGTGTATGTGTGAGTGTGTGCGTGTGTGTGTGTATGAGAAACTTAGCTCCTGCCCACTGTAGTACTCCAGAACATGGGTTAGAGTATGAGATATGGGTCAATGAGTGACTGACTTGTGATGACTTTTTGAGGTTCTCTATTTTTGGAGTAACATCCTATAGCTTTGTTTTACTCTGTTTTTACATATTCTTGTTGCCTTCCATGAAAACTTCTAGTTTTTCTTTTGTTGTTGTTAATCCTCACCTGAGGATATTTTTCCATTGCTTTTCAGAGAGAGTGGAAGGGAGAGAGAGAGAGAGAAACATCAGTGTGAGAGAGACACAACTCTTGGTGGCCTCCCGCACACACCCTGACCTGGGCCTGGGGTCGAGCCTGCACCCTAGGTATGTGCCCTTGGCCGTAATCGAACTGAGATCCTTCAGTCCAAGGGCTGATGCTCTAACCACTGAGCCAAGCTGGCTAAGGTGAAAATTTCTAGTTTTAACACCAGACAGGATCGTATATGACTTTAAATTTGCTATTCGTTTTAATGGGTAAGAGGAGGTCTGAGAATCTGTGTCTATGGCTGAGTTTAATCCTGTTCTTTGCATCAGCCAAGTCCTGTGCTACTGTACTCATGCTGTTCACGTGGACTATAACGTTTAATACACTGTAGCTAATAGCACATGATTAAATGGGACTTTTTTAAAGTTTTAATTATTTTCTCAATTTATAGATACATCAATCTGAAAGAGCAATATATGCAACAATATCAAATAGTATTTTTCATTATCCAACCCTTTCTCGTTTTGACTCACTTAAGTTGAGATAATTAGAATGATGGCAGACACTTTGCTTATAGAAACTGAAATGTTGGGGAGACATATACTGGGCATTTCCTGCTCCCCTTACCCACGTAGAGAACTCATAGAACATGACTACTTTTACCAAGGTAAGAGTTTGTCTGTCTGCCTTCCTTTCCTGCTGTTCTTCCTTTCCGCCTTCCTTTCTTTCTGTTTTGTATATAGAATGCCTTGAAAAAGAGTGGAGGTAGCAGATATCTTTATTGCATTGACTTGCACTGAGAGAGACTGTAAAAAATAGTGTAGATATTACAATTATCTGGCACTTAACTGACCATTATTAAATTCTTACTAGGCACAAACATATTTAGCTAGATTGAATTTTGGAGTTAACTGAAGTTTGGCCTTAAAAATGGCCTTTAAAACCAGTTCAGTATATATTTTTCAGCATCCTACATGTGCACTATGCTAACCAATAGAAAGTGGGTAGCAGAAGACTTATAAGTATTTCATATTTGTTTTGCTTTTTCATATCTGATTTTCTTTATTATATTGCAAATTACTAAATAGTATGCACTGTTTTCAGTCTTTTTTTTTTCCTGGATGGTTTTGTTGTACAAAGTGGTTGGACTTTATTCTAGAAGCTATATGAGCAGGACAATGCATGTCCAAAGTTGTGTTTTATAGATGTTAGCAAACCTGTGATTGAAAGTCTTGAGAGAGGTTGTGAGCTTGAAGGAAAATTCAAAGGGACTAAAATAAAATAATCCAGTAGAGAGCTAATGTGGGCCTGAGTTTGGGCTATTCCACTGAGGAGAATGTGAAATAATAGGTATCAATCCTGGTTGCAGTTTAAATTACTTGTAGTTATTAAAATTATCCATGCCCTTGTTCTACCCTCTGAGATTCTCTTAATCATCTAAGGTTAGAGTCTGGGCGTGTGTGTGTGTGTGTGTGTGTATGTGTATGTGTATTTTTCCTAATTGTTACCCCAGGATATTCTCTCCATTGCTTTTCAGAGAGAGGGGAAGGGGGAGAAAGAAAAAGGAAGGGGGAGAGAGAGGGAGGAAGGGGGAGAGAGAGAGAAAAAGAAACATCAATGTGAGACACATTAATTAGTTGTCTCCCTCTCCCTCTCAGACCAGGGCTGGGGATTGAGCCTGCGACCAAGGTACATGTCCTTGGTCAGAATTGAACCCGGGACCCTCCAGTCCACGGGCCAATGCTCCAACCACTAATCCAAACTGGCTAGAATCCAGGTGATTCTAACAGGCAACTAGGTTTAAGAACCACTAATGAAGGGTTTCGCCAAGGTGGCAATCAGGAGTTGGGTGAAAAGACTGGACAAGTGAAAGCGAGATGTGGAAGAGAAATCTAGAAGGTCCTGAACCTACTAAGATGGGATAATAGAGCTTCAGTTAAATATAAGATAAATGCCTGAATGAAAAGCAAACTGAGTAGCAAGTGGAGACCATGAGTTTATTTTTAATCGTACTGAGTTTAAAGTGCCAATGATACTTTCAAAAAGGCCACGTGAGATAAGAAGTGAACGGTTTCTATTTGATTTGTAATGAGAGATTAGTGTTGGTCTTGAAAGAGCAGTTTCAATGAAGTGCTTATTATAAAACAGATTTCAGTGGGTTGGAGAACACCTGGGCGACTTGAAAGTGGAAATAGCAAGGCGGACTTCTCATTCAGTGGGGAATGAAGACATAGGGCGGTGGTTATGCAGAGCGGGCAGAATTGAAAGGGCATTTTTCTTAATATGGGAGAAATAAGAGNAGACGTAGGGCGGTGGTTATGCAGAGCGGGCAGAATTGAAAGGGCATTTTTCTTAATATGGGAGAAATAAGAGTGTGCTTATATAAGCTGCAAGGGAGAGAGAAGGGGCATACGACCTAGGAGTGACACAAAAAGAAACCGATGAAGGCAGGGGTGTCCTGTATAAGGAATGAGCTGGACCAGATTCCACCGAGAACATAGTGGGATGTGACCAAGGCAGAGGCCACTGGCAAGGTCTTTGGTGCCCTTCGGCAGAGCAGTGTTGGCATGCAATAGACCCGGAGTCAAAGGGCCATCTATGGAGTTGATCAGTACATGGGTATCGACCTGTACCTGGCTGCTGAGACTTGCAAAGTTAACGATTCTAAGATCATGAGTAGGTAAGCAAGAGAAAAGTTAACTAAGCCTCAGTATCCTTATTTGTAAAATGAAAATACTTTACCCCACAGGATTGTTTTGAATCATCAATGGGTTGATTATGCAAAAATGCTTAACATAGTATCTAATGCATAGTAAATAACTTACTAAAGGGTGTGGTTTTTCAACTGTGATAGATGTCCCAGTTGTGCTTGCTCTGCAATCATGCAACATCATGTTGAAAGAAAATAATCTCTAGGATATAAAAGGGTTTGGATCCTACTGATGTGTGTGTTAAATAGAAGAGAATGAGAGAGAGGCATTACATTTAAATCACATTTTTTTCCTAAAATTTAAATCACTTTTTTTCCAAAATTAGAAAACTGTCGCTATGGTGTAGGTAAAAGAGTAACCTTAGTGCCAGGCTAAGTAAAAATATTTTTTCTGACAGGAGAGGACAGAAAGTGTTATAGGATGGGAGCAAGGAGTCAGGAGAGACCGAGAAAATGATAAAGGAAGAGATGAATTAACATCTAAGAGGAAGAAGAAATAGGTGGGGCTGGGAATATTAAGTGGGAGGGTTAGAGTGAGTGGAATAACATTTCTTGTGTGAGATAAATGAACAGAAATGGGTGACACTAGAGAGAAATTTAAGAGTGAGGCCAAGGGAAAGAATGCCAGTGGCCCAGGAGCCGGAATGAGAGATCCATTAATTCACTTACAAATAGTTTTTTTCTCCTTCCATGTGCCAAGAACTGTGTCAGATGCAGTGATAAAAAAATTAGGTGGTAAGGTTTACTTATTTTTCAAATGATATCCCTCCTGATACTTGGTTTGGGAATCCTCAAATAAATCCCACAAAGCACTGAGGTTGTATAGCAGCACGA